TGTGGTAGGCGAGTCATGCTATGAAAATGGCAACAAGGTTGAAAATGGGTTGGTTTTTTTTAATGCGCCATATAGAGCAAAACCATTTAATTAACCTATATAAAATGAATATCATCAGACAAATTAAATTCCTTTTGGCTTCCAAGTGTTGTGTTCAAATTTGAAACCCAAAACCTCAGTATGGAGGAAGATATTTACAAAACAAGTTGAACGAGGTATTTTTGGGGGGATCACCCTGTCTTTTGACTGTTACAGTAAGTAGGCCTGAAGGCTGTGACAACTGTGCTGTAGGGCAAAACAGAGGCAAAGGGCAATGTGTGACAGGAAAGAATGAGCTAACGCTAAAGGTATTGAGATAAAATGTGGTTGAAAGATACATCTGATATGATATGTGCATTATTGTCAGCTTTACGTTTCTCTTTATATTGAATTTTAGTGAGAGTTATATACTAATATTATTAATCTAATTTCTATATATACCTGCATCTATTTCACGGTCCCGTATAGCCAGGGAAAGTGTCCGTCTCGGACAATTAACTATCATCTTATCTTAACTTATCTCTCAACCTGATACATTATCAATCTTCTGTATGAAGTGTTGCTCTTTTGCCCCCCCCCCTTTTTTTTCCAAAATTTCCTTTGTCGTTATGCGAGCACAACTTGTCAATTATCAAACAGAGTATTATGTCAACAGATGAAGAAAAACCAGATGGGTCTTCTGGTGTGGTTTGCTCACTCATTCCTTTCAAAGAGCTGGCGTCCTCTTCTCTTTTTTTCCTTTCTTCGTATGTTACTACTTTCTAGTAATATCCGTACTAAATTTTCGTATGTACTTGTATGACCTAATTGTGTAGCAAATGACGTAAAACTAAAACGAGAAAAACCCGGAAGTGAGGAGATAGATTCCCCAGTTGCTCAGTGTGCTGGCAGGAATCAACAAAGGGTGCTGGATTATACTAAATACTAGATCTAGATATTATATTTACTTTCCATTCTATTGAAAGAGAGACCAGTGACTGGGGTGGCATCGGTAGGCCTAGTCTACGCGTAGTACAGTGCTTAGGCTGCAGGACCGTTCAGGACGCGTGAACGTGAAAATGCGGGTTCGGTGGTTTGGGGCTCAGCTTGGTTCGACATGTAGAATCTATTGTGTCTTTGGGAATGCGCTTTACTACATGTAGCATGTAGCCTACTTTATTCAAACTCCCCCTCCTCCCTCCCTCTTTTTGGCTTAGTCCTATGGACATTAACTTAGCAGGCCCGGACTAAGGGGAGGGCCAACGGGACCCTTATACTGGGCCACCCACTAAGAGCCCCCCACTCCCTCAAACCAATATTGTAGGCTGTGATGGTACGTATATTATTATATAATATTATAATATATTATATAATATTATATTATATTATATTATATTATATTATATTATATTATATTATATTATATTATATTATATTATAGTATATTATATTACAGTATATTATATTGCATTACATTATGTTATGTTACATTATATTACATTACATTATATTCTGTTATATTATATTATATTATATATTTTTTATATTATATTATATTATATTATATCATATTGTATTATATTATATCATATTGTATTATATTATATCATATCATATTATATTATATTGCTTTCTATTCTATTCTATTCTATTCTATTCTATTCTATTCTATTTTCTATTCTATTCTATTCTATTCTATTCTATTCTATTCTATTCTATTCTATTCTACTAGCTGCGCCCCCTTTCAATAAAAGGAATGATGGGTGTATTAACATCATATGAAAGTCATTGACCTACTATATTAATTTTACACTAATCAACTCTACTGGAATGGAGCAATGAATCTTGAGAGATGCAAAAAATTAGATTGTCTAGATTTATACTCTCAAAACAAAATGTGCCTCGCGAAATGTCACTTCCGGAACTTCCGCTGTGGAGGACAGCTATGCAGATTTGTTTCGTTTCTCAGAGGGATAATCACAAAGACCTAAGAAGGACGGGAACTTTTTGTCAAATATATGTTTCTAAATGCAGGATATAAATAACGAAAAAGTCAGGCTCCGTGATGGTGAGTAATCTATCTTTTTGCAGGTACTTGCCAACTTTTAACTCTGTGGGTGTCGTTGTTTTATTGGAGAAGTAAAACATGTGTTTCCAAGTTGTCAAATAATATATATGATATGATATGATATGATACGCAGAGGCGAAGCGTCTATATAATCAAATAATCACTGCTTCCCTTCCTAATTTTGAAACATTGTCGCAGTCAAATTCACCCATAGACGTAAACCTCATAAATTAAATGTAAAAAGACTTTCATAATCACCAATGAACAATAGACTATGCCTAACCTTCAAAACCGTTTCATTGCCACAGAAATAGCCTGTTCGCCCCTATCGGACCACTCCATAAGCAGTCGCAAGCTTTGATTAAGTAAGCTTAAAGTGAGGCTGGAAGAGTCAACCAATATAGTTGAAGGGAACATGTGCATAGCAGTCAGAACTGTTTCATTGTCGCATATACCCTGTTCACCCCTTTCGGACCACAGTTATAAGCACCCAGACGCGCTGATTATCTAAGCGAACTATTACACTGGTCGAGTCTACCTCACAGATGTGAGGAGAACTAACTCCTAATAATCCTTTGACTCCTGCTACTACACTGCTAGTGCTTGTTTTGTTTTTCCTCGGCTTTTTAACGTCCTATAATCAGATCGTGACCTCGATTATGACACCGGCTCCTGGCCGCGAAAAGCTAGACAAAAAACAGCCAAATGTGAAATAAAAAATTAATAATTGTCGTGCTCTACCAAAGTGTTTCGGCTGTCTGGTATAACATGCCATTGTAGTGCTGACATCTGTGCTTCTTTCGTTGGTGTTCGTGTGTTCAAATCTAAAGTTAAATTTAAGGTTAGTTAGAATAAATATTTAATGAAATACTTTTCCGATTATTTTAACGGTTGAACAAGCATACAACATGAATTCAGGATCTGTTTTCATTCACAACTCAAGAGTTGCCGCCTCCAGTGCCAGTAAGATTCTTGTGACTTGTGTGAGTGTGATATCTCCATGCCCTATCTGGTCCCATTTCACTTTGATTACCCTGTCAAACAAGTCAGCCTTCACCGCTGATGATACGATATGATATGATATGATATGATATCATATTACATTATATTATATTATATTATATTATATTATATTATATTATATTATATTATATTATATTATATTATATTATATTATATTACGTTATATTATATTATATCATATCATATCATATTATATTTTACGCAAAGAATTAACGAAATCTCGAGGACGCTAGGTAGGCAATGAATTTAAATTTAACCCTTTCGCTGCTTTAGGCGACTTTTGTCACAAACTAAGTATATTGTGTCTGTTTCCGCCATAGTCGACATATTTTGTGTTCTGTACAAATTTGTCATTTCTTGTTTATTATGCATTACATATTACAACATTGGAAAAATTGTCGTTGTTCAAAATTTTAAACTAAAAGTGTCCCATTTCAAGACTCCCCCCGCCCCATGCTTAATCCAGCCTTGTAAGTTTAAAAGTCCTTATAACCTTTTGTGCTGCACAGACAATTTCATGTCTTCTTCTTTTCATTATTATCACTATTATTATCATTGTTATTGTTGTTGTTGTTGTTATAATTACCATTATTAATATTGTGTAGTTTCTTTCTCCTTCTCTTCCTCCCATCTTCTTCTTCTTCATTTGATCTGCTATCTTTCTTTATGGAGAAAAAAAATCGCAATTCCAAATCTCAAATTCCCCTTCCACTTTTACTTCATGCCTCAATCACACATGTGAAATAGTACGACACTCCCTTACAGTACAGCTTTCTTGATTACAAACGTGTCAACGACGTCTCTCCCTAGGCGATATCAAAGAAGTCGAGATCTGAAGGAAGGGAAGTAAGAACATGGTACGTTGTATCATTTTGGCAATCTACAATGGATTTCCTAAACATTATTTACTTTATGTCCATCGCCAATTCAAAGCTGTAGGATGCTTACTGCTGCACTTTACATTTGAGACTGCTTGTCATGGCGCAAAAGGTCTTAGCAAAAGTCATAGTAGATGACTTGACTTAATCGTATATTACAGTGTAGTGTATAACAGTTGTATAAGCAGAAGTTATAAGTAGCGTTATTTTTTATGCGATATTTGTTTCGTTTTTATTATTATTATTTCTGTTATGCACGTCTCTATAACTAACTGAAACTTTAAAAAAATTTTTTTAAACCTGTCTCTGAATTGTGAGTAGACGAATTCGTTAGAGCGTAAATATAGTAATGTTTTGAAAGATTTTAATTATGTAGAGTTTTATTAGTCAAATAAGTGCGTTTATTCTTACAAAAGTTGTACACTTATAGCAAAAAGAGGCACATTTCTGGGATCCATTATGCTTAGACATATTATTGTGTGAACCTGTCTGCATAGATTATTACATCCCCCCCC